GATGACGCGATTTCAATGTAATACCGTCAATACCGCCTTTTATGAATCGTACTACATTATTTGACCCAGCGGTGATCCAGAAAATTTCTAAAGAAACTGGTCGGGGTTACTCAGACCCTGGCGCCATGCAGTCAACCCTTGCACCTAACGTTGTCAAACGCCTGATTATTGTCACGGCAAAATTGTCATCATTACCGAGAAAAGCTTGGACTTCATTTTCAAAGGTATCTTGAGCACCGGAAGCGAGCGAACCGGCGAACCAAATTGCGCTTGTTCCTAGGAAAGGGATATTGCACGGGCCAGAAAAGCTAAAAACTGGTAAAGATGAAGCTTGTCTACCGTCTAAATCACGTTTCAAGCCTCTTCTTTAGACATTTCAAGTCCAAAAGCTTAGAAAACTGTAGCCTTGCTGACTATACTTTTTCTGTAACCTTTTCGGGCTCAGCTACGCGCCATTTCACAGCACAATTCGACAAATTGCGTGTTTGTCAATCCATTTGCCACGGTTAAATTTATGAAAACAAAAAAATTCCAAAAAAATTTGTTGAAATTGCTTCAAAATTCATATAAAAACACTTTCTAGTAATGAAAACGGAAAACCTCTACGACTTGGAGACGGCGTCACTCCGACAGGGAGCCGAGGCGAAGATCTTCGACTGTTTGTACCTCGGCAGACCGGCGGTGATCAAGGAGAGGTAATAAGAATGTTTTTCTAGAATTAATATACTTTTCAGGCTAGAGAAAAAATTCCGGCATCCAATTCTCGATCAACGTCTCCGATCCCAACGGTTTCGCGCTGAACTACGTGGACTGCGCAAAGCAGCTGAGGTTTTTATTTCTATTTTATTTATTTTGACATTTTTAGATCGGCGTCAACAGCCCAGCCGTCTACTTTGTCGATCGGGATGCGTTCGGCGTCATCATGCAGCGAATACCAGGGCCCTCATCGAATGAATGGGTTGAGGAAATGCGACGAAAAGACACAGAAAACTTCTTGGTATTTTTCTAGCTTCCTTAGCTAATTCCTCGATCTTTTATAGAAAATAACATCTCAATTCGCCAAGGATCTAGGAACGGATATTGCGAAGATGCATCATGCTGGATTGGTACGAGTTTTTAAAGTTTAATAATAGTTTTTTAGATTCACGGAGATCTAACAACGTCAAATGTGCTTCTAAAAGACGGCGATGCTTCACAAATATATTTCATCGATTTCGGGCTATCTTCATTAGGAAAAGTAGGTTATAATTTCGGATTTAATATATTTTGTTTGTTAGGTGAGCCCCGAAGACAAGGCTGTTGACCTGTACGTGCTCGAGCGGGCCATCCAGGCGTCCCATATAAATTGCGACCACCTGATGCAGTTGATCATCGAGGGGTACTTTACTTCATAAAAATTAATCCTGTTCTTTAGATACAAGAAATTTGACGCGAAGCAAGGAGAAGCTGTTTACAAGAAGTTGGAAGAGGTTCGCCTACGCGGCCGGAAGCGTGATATGGCCGGCTAAAAAGGACCAAATTGAGGCTGGAGTTCTGTTTGTTTTTGTTTGTTCGATGCTCTGTTGTGTGTTTTGTTACGTTTAAAACTGAATAAATTTTACACTTGGAGCTTTGGAGCTTATTTATTGGTAGCTACATTGAAGATAACTATTCTTGGAATTTTGAAAAGTCGCGCTCCGAGGTCAATCAGCTTCAGAAATGTCCGGAAGAGCTAGAAAACGGGAGATAGATGAAGCTTCCGGTCTGTCAGAGTCAACTTCTGCGGCTTTACTACCAGTTGAGCCAGTTGTTTCGAAGAAGCTGAAAGTCGAGAATAAGGTTTGAAACTGGTGGTAAAAACAATCTATTTTGTAGAGTTCTATATCCGAGACAAGCGCGCTACGCCATGGGCACATCTATTATACAAAGGTTAAACTCCTGAAAACAGAATTTTATGGAAAAATTAGGTCCGCTCGGCCCTGGATTGCTTCAACGAGAACTGCTTCTCGCTAGCCGATTTGCTAGCAAGCATCAGGCCAACGTCGTCGCTTCATTTCAACTTTATGATCGATCTGGATTGGGTTTTGAGGTAACTTTGAGTTATTTTATATGTTTTTATTGTCAAAAAAGACGCAAGCTATAATAATTCTCTTTCCCAGACAATACCCGGCAGAATTGCGCACAACCCCGATCTTTCTGGTGGTCGGCGAGAAGATGGGCACGTCCAAAAGTGATATAGAAAGGACAAGTAAAGCTCTCGGCAGCACAAATGTTGAGGTTGTGCAGATTCTGGAGTCTGGAGTACCACTATTTTCAGGTCTTTACCGCCAAACTGCCAATTCCCTACGGCACCCACCACACCAAATTGTCCCTTTTCGAATCAGCGGACCGTCGGCTTCACATTGTCGTCTCGACAGCGAATTTGGTCGAAGGTAAATTAAAATATTTGAAACTTTTTTCAATAGTTTTTTAGGTGATTGGCGCGAAAAGACGCAGGCCTTTTACTACTGCACTGGGGAATTGCAATCGACGGCCTCTACCTCGCATACGGTCTTCCAAACCGAGCTTTTGGATTATTTAGCCAGGTAAAATTTCGCAGGAATTCAAAAACATTGTAAAATTTCAGGTACAAGTTACCCAGCGTCGATGCGTGGATCGAGAAACTAAAATCGACTGCACTTGTGGAAAATGGCGACCACTTCATCTACTCGGTACCGGGATATCATAAGGCAGATGATCAGGAAAAGGCAAAATTTCAAAGAGATTTTTAATTACTTATTTTTCAGATCGCTCAATTGGCACTGCGAAAAGCCCTAAAAACGCGGAAGCCAGATCCCGGTGCCCTCTACATCGCGCAATGCAGTTCAATAGGTGGGTCAAATTTTGGGTCTTTCGCATTATCGAGGGGGGTACTTTTTGGAACGGTTCAAATTTTCGAATATGAATTATAGGAGTGTTTTCTACTGTTTTTTATTATACCTAAAAATCTTGCCGCTTTTTATTAAAAGTTGGAAAGGTTTTGTTTAAACTTATAGGAAAAACGTTCGTCCCCGCGATGTTGCGGAAGAACCCAAATTTTTCATGTGACATCGAATTTTAGGGTCTCTCGGAAATAAGCCGGACCAGTGGATGCTTTCTCAATTTTTGATAACGCTGCGGGGAGGCAGGAGTACAGGTAATAATTTTTCGAGACAGTAGAAAATTGATATTTCAGGCTCAACCCGGCTTTTCCTCGTCTACCCCACTGTCAAAAATGTTCAAGAATCGTATGAGGGCTGGAGTGCCGGCGGTTCTTTACCCTATCAATCTGGTACTCATCAGAAGCAACCCTGGCTTAGGTATGGGTTACTGTAACTACTTTTATTAGTATTTCAGGACTGCGCTTTGCAAGTGGTTCTCAGAAAACCGAGGACGATCCCAAGCAATGCCGCATGTTAAGGTAATACAGAATAAAAAAACGATAAAAAAGTGTTACTAAACTCTTTGTAATTATTGCTAAAAGTCAGCAGGTTGCAAATTTTAATAAAAATAGAAGAAATTTGCATTTTTCTACTAAAAAGGAACGATTTTGACAAATTTGTCGGATTTTTAATTTTTTCCAAGTTTTTAGATAGTTTTTTTCGCTTTCCATAAATCTTTCTATGGGTTTTTAGATAGTTTTTGTACTTTTAATATAGTTAACTACTAAAAAATGTTTGTTAATGGTTTAGTAGGCATTTTTTTACTTGTAGGAAAAATTCGCCCCTCCCCCCCCCCCGAATAATGCAAAAGCACGGTTATTTCCTACATATACTTTTCAGACCTACTGCGAAATCGGAGAAGATCGCGAGCTCAAATGGATGGTTCTCACGTCAGCAAACCTCTCAAAAGCCGCCTGGGGCGAGATTCAGAAAGGCGGGCAGCAACTTTGTGTCCGCAGCTATGAAGCCGGCGTTTTGATACAGGTATGTATTATCTCAATTTTTGATGGCATTTCCCGGTTTTTTAGGACAAATCCCGCTGTGAATTGCCGTACGACTACCCGATCTGCCGGTACAAGCTGGAGGACGAGCCGTGGACAGTTGACACCACGCAGCTCGAAGCGGATTCTCAAGGGAGACAATGGATTATGGATTGAAATTTTGGGTTGTGCTTTTTTTGGCTTGAATAAATGCTTGATCCGGTTATCTGTCTGATTTATGCTGGTTGTGTTTTGAACGTAAATTAGTACCCAAGATCTTTCGATCAAATGAAATTTTGGCTCTTGTGCATTATCGGGGGACCAACTTTTTCTAAGGATCCAGTTTTTCTAATCATAAAGGAAGTGTTTCTAAACGGTACTTTAGTACACCTTAACGTAAAAACTCTACAAATTTTGAGTAAAGCAATATGAAAAAAATCACGATTCTTCGGGCGAAATTTCATACAAAAATGTTTTTAATTTTTTTATTCTCTTTTCGCTTAATAATGTTAAATTTATTTTTCAAACTATTAAGACACTACAATTACGTTACTAGACATTTCTGGACTTCAATAAACAAAATTGCTCTTACCCACGACAACCCCCCCCACCCCCGATAATGCGAATGTACCTAAATCTGTTATTTATTCGTGTTACTCAAGGTTTATCCTACTATATATAAAAAAATAGTGTCTGTGTGTGTGTGTGTGCATTTGCATAAAACTTCCGTCACCGTGTTCCAGTAGTATCTCAAGAGGGGAAGTACTTAGGGGTATGTTCGATACGTCATTAGGTCCGTAATGGCCTGGAGATGACTGCACACATATCAGCTTTACAAATTGTGTTTTCGACATTAAAATTAAGTTTTTCTGGAAAATCGGACCCCCACTTTGTTGGATCAAATTAGCATGCGCCGGAAGTCGCGGTGTCCATATAAAGCGAAGGCAGAGCATTTTCATTTTTCGTCATCCGAATCTGGGAAAATTTGCAGTCAAAAATATCATTGGAGGGGCGGGGCCAGGGTTGAAAGCCGCGAGCGGTTTTTCAACCCTGGTTAAATAATATAATTTCTATAGAAGCGATGAGCAAGCGAATTCTCTCCGTCGGCGAGGTCGTGTTGTACGAGGAGGACTTGGAGCTTTTGAGGCAAGGTTTTTTGTTGAATTTCTGACGGAATTCGATTTCATTCATTTGGCGCTTCAAGAAGCTTTAGCGTCTAAGAAGCCTCCAAATCTTTGACTTACGATATTAATCCGGTTTTAGGCCCGGAAACTGGCTCAACGACCGGCTGATCACGTTCGCCATCCAGCACCTCGTCGAGCAGTTGAGCGCCGAGAGGAAGGAACAAGTATCTTGGCTTTTACTTACCATCAAAATAAAGCTTAGATCGCCGTGTTGTACGCCCCAGAGTGCGAGATGATCAAGTTTCTCCCCGCCGACTCGCTCGGCGACGTCTTCGGGCCGTTGCGGCTCGAGGAGAAGCAGCTGGTAAAAACAAGCAAAATTACTTGAAATTAACGAATTTTTAGGTCCTCTTTGTCCTGAACAACAACAGCCGGCCAAACGTGGTGAACGCGGGCAGCCATTGGTGGGATTTAATTTTGAGCGGCTAACAACCCTGAGTTTTTGAAGATTTTTACCCTTCACACCCTTTACGATGGCTTTCTCAATCCTTCATAAAATTTATTTTAGGTCTTTGCTGGTCTACGACCGCCCCGGCTACACGTTCAACTACTTTGATAGCATTTCTGGGCAAAGTGCGATGGTGGCGAAAGAGGTGAAAAAGCTTGCAAAACCTAATATTTTGATTTTTAGGTAGCCACCAAGATGTCAAGCTTGTTGAACGCCGGCGAAGCAAGTTTTATCAACGCCCCCGCCCCGCAGCAGCAAAATTCCAGCGATTGCGGCATATTTTTGATAGAATATGCTCGGCAGATTTTACAGGTGCGTTAGCGAGGTTCTTTTTGGTGATATTTGCTGCTTTTAGAAGAGCCCGTCCGAAGATCTGCAACTGGCCAATATCTCCGCGAAAAAGATGCGATTAGACTGGTATAATGTTATTAACGGTTTGGTGATGGCTAATAAATGAATTTCATTTTGGGGAAACCTGTGTCTATTTTAAATACAGACTAAAATTTGGTGCATTTGGATTATCGGAGGGTGACCATTACTTTTCTATGATTCCTACACATAAAAACTTTACAAAATTTTTAGTAACAGTAAAGTAACAGTAAGTAAAATCGAGAGCCAAAATTGGGTGATTTTCAGTAACATTTAAAAGTTTTTAGTTTTTGCTAAGTTTTTAGATGGTTTTTCCAATAAAAGTATCGTCACTTTTTCTATAAAACAACAAATCTAAATTTGTAAACTAAAAATACGCTTTTTCGGCTAATGTGTGAATTTTTTGGGTTGTTAGAATTTTTTAGATAGCTTTTAACTTCAGGTATGTCTAAATTTTTCCGAGAAGACTAAGCAGATGGGTTTTTATTAATCCACACTATAATTCATCAAAACGCGATCAAAAACTTTATAGAATGATGCATCACGCCATGAAAACCCCGCGGGTCTCGGGACGACATTTCGCCCCCGGTTCACGAGGTGTCGGCCCGTCCCGTTTCTCAGAAGAGCGGATTACGTCGCGTTACATTACTTTGCCGGCCTGTTATGAGGTAAGTCAAATCATCCCCATCCCTAAAACGATAATCCCTCTCCGGAAATCCGGATTGTTGGGGCACTGGCCGGGTGCCGCTAGAGGCCCCCAAGCTTTTAAGAATACAAGAAAAGTTATGTTCTTTGCACAAGCCGCTCAGTTTTGCGCCCCGTTCTCCCCACTTCCCGATGGAATGTAAGCAATGCCGGGGGCGTTTAGTATAGCTAGGTTAAAAAGAGGCTTTAGCAGCAGTTTTATAGTTTGAAAATCGAAATATATTACTTTTTAGCAAAATCCCAACCGTAACGCTGGCCGACGACGACGACGATATACAGCCTCATTTGAGGTGGGATTAGCGTATGAAACTTGGAAATTTGATGGTTTAACTCGAAAAATTGCCAAATAATAGGCAAGAACTTTATAAATGACATTTCAGGAGTCTTGGAGCGGCAGAACGAGCGCGGCTTCGCCAGGAGGCGCTCCGGAAATTCGTGCCAGGTTTGTAGAAGTTGCTAGATATTTTAATAGATGTATTATCTACTTTAACAGAAGAAAATCATCCAATTTTTAGGAGAACCATGCGTCGTTTGCGGTGACACAGCCTCCGGGATCCACTACGGTGTTTCCAGCTGTAATGGTTGCAAGACGTTTTTTAGGCGGGTGGTTATTGAGGTACGTTAAAAATATTATAAATCTAAATTAAGATAGCCAAAAATATTGTCAAAAGCTCGAAAAGTCCATTAATTTCAGAACCGCACGTATTCCTGCAAAAACAAGGGCGACTGCGTGATCGACAAAAGTATGCGGTGTTCGTGTCGGCATTGTCGTTTCAAGAAATGCTTGCGTGTTGGTATGGATCGATCAGGTTTGTCGAAAAAGCGAAACTAAAAAGATTTCAATTAAACGTTTTATTAGGTAACCTTAATTAATATATTTAAAGTATTAAAAGAAATTTTAGAACTCAACATCGAACGGCGCCGGAAACGAAAAGCTCGTGATCCCGGAATTTCTGATAACGAGTACGAGGAGAACAATTTTAGTGAGTGTTTTGAAAGCGTTTTCTAGCGAATCAGTCTTTTTACCTTTTTAAATTAGTTTAAACCAGGGTTGAAAAGCCGCTTCGCGACTTTTCAACCCTGGCCCCGTCTGAGCCCATGATATCCTGCACATTGCATAATTCGACCGAATTTCGATGAGAAATAATGAAAAATGCACCCTCTCCGCCGTTATAAAGGCTGCCGCCACTTCCGTCTTATGCTAATTAATGCCTAACAAAGAGGTTGCCCGATTTTTCAACAAAAAAATGATTTTTAATGTCGAAAATAACATAATTTGCAAAATTTGTTATGCGCGCAGTCATCTCCAGACCATTACGCTCCTAATGACGTATCATATGTAGCCTAATACCCCTCCCCCTTGAGATATCCTCCGGACACCCTGACGGAAGTTGCATGCAAAGTGTCACACACACACACACACACACACACACAAACACTATTTTTTTATATATAGTAGGATTACTAAAACAACCTTATAAAATTACTTTTCTAGTCTCCGATCCGTTGATCGATCTCCTACACAAAAAGGAGTCGTGCTACGAGGCGCTGCTTACTTCTACGGTCTCCCCACTGCATTCCTCGCTAAAAGATGCACTCATCAGCCCGAAGGCTTTTGATCAGCCGCTGTCATTGGTGAGTTTTACTCAAGTTACAACCTCACCGGAAAAAAAATCGAAAAAATAGGTAATAAATCACAATTAAGTGAAAATCCGGAGCAGACGCCCGAAAACAAAAATTAAAATATATCTACTGTAATAAAGAAAACAAACAAAACGACGTTTCAGTACACATCACACCCTCTACCCGTCGGCGAGCAGCGCAATTTCTCGTTCTGGCGCGCAAAAATCTTGTCGGTGCTGGTGGAATGGGCAAAGTCGTTTGAGGTTCGTATTTTTTAGCTGCGTATTTTAACGTAAGTTTGAGGTTAAGGTATTTGAATTCCTATATTTTCCTAAAAACTTCTACGATTCCGTTTTTCCAGGTATTCAGCAAGCTGTGCTTGGACGATCAGATGCGCCTCGTCGTGCACACCATCTTTTCGAATCTGGTGCTGGCCGAGGCGTTTCACACACCGGAAAAATACACGGACAGGATCGTTTTCCCGGATGGGCTGAGTGGGTGGGTGTAAAGAGGAGCTTAACGGAGAGAGGAAAAGTTTACTTGACCTGTAAATTAACGTAAAACGGCACAATTTTTCTTTTTCGAATCAAAAATACGTCTTACGAATTTATGTAATTTTAGCTATCGTAACCTTACCTCCTGCGTCCTGAAGGAGCGTTCCGGACTCGTCCCCACCGTCGTCGCCGTGATCAACAACATTCTGGTCCCAATTCGCCGGATGAAAATGACGAAAACGGAGTATCTACTCTTGCAGGCGATCATTTTCTATGATCCTGGTATGTTTTTACATCTAAAAATCAATTATTTTATCACGAAAAGCTATAAAACATGATTTTCAGAATGCTTGAGCCTCTCCGAGCAAGCGCATCAGCTGATATCCGCAAAACGGAAGCGGCTTCTCCACTCGCTACGGCGACACCTCGATACGAAGTGCAGTGATCCGGTGGACAGCGCCAAGCGATTTGCTGAGGTGTTGTTGCGGATCTCCAATGTACAGGTAGGCAATGAAAAAAGGTTTATAAACAGTTAAAGTATGTTTTTGAGCTTATAAAGTGCATTTCAAGCTTTTAAAGTTTATTTTTATAATTTTAGAGTATATTTTGAAGTTTATGACTTTATTTTTGGGATTTCAAAGTACCTTTCAGCCTGTTAGAAGGGATTTTAAGGATTTTAAGACTTTTAAAGTATTTGTACGATTTTAAAGTTTTTCATTTGCAGTTTCAAGTATGTTTTAAAAGCTTAATGTTGACCTTTAAGTTTTATTAAGTTAAATTCCAGCTAAAAAATCAAAAATACATCCTAGAAAGTAGCCGCGTTCAAACGAGAAACTCTCTGCACGATCGAGACGTTCAACCTGATGACCCCGCATCCGTTTACCATGGAGATTTCGAAGGCCTATCCTGATGTTAGCTTTTTCTAAGTTTTATGTTAGTTTTTCTCCGTAAATGTTCCAAATTTTAGCAGCTTTTTCCTGTCTTTTTCTAAGATTTCGAGTACGTTTCACGTCCTTTCGCCTTTCTGCCCTTTTATAAATGTATATTCCATCTTTTTCGACGATTTCTCATCAGAAAATCAACAACGAGAATAATCTCACATATCCGATTCTGGGCTCAAGTCTAGGAAACCCCCCCCCAGCCGACTTTTCGACTTTTCTACCTTCCTTATTTTTATTTTTCGCTACTTTTTTCGACTGAACTGCAATGCAGTCTCACAATTAGCCTACGGCGAACATTTTGGTATACTTTAGAGCTCGCTAGCACAAAGGGGGGCCGAGATACAAAAGTTGGTGCCGGCTGGGGAGGGGTTTTCTAGACTCTTACCCGATTCTGCGAATTTATCTTGTCGTAGAACTCTTATCAAATTTCTAGCCCCTCTACCCAAATTGTCGATTCCCAAAAATGTGTTGTGATCTCATAGTCTTCCTGTTAATAATAATATAACTTAATGTAACGATTTATATAAATTTTTGACAGTCAAATCAAAAAAGTTTCCCTATCAAGCAAATTTTTCCCTATCACACAGAATTTTTAAAAATAACCTATGTAACGTTTCCAACTGTTAACTTTAACCGTTTCTAAACATCTATGAGAAAAAAAAATTTCAAGTAAATATAATAGTATTTTAACATTGTTTTCGATTGCGCAATTTTATTTCGTTTTTTTTGTTGCTTTAAAGAGAATTTTAGAGCCATTTAAAAGCGATTTTTTGGATTTTTTTTTTGAAAAAATTAGACAACTTTTTTCCCTACCGGGTGCAGTGTCAACAGTTTCAAACCGGATTTCATAAAAAAGTTGTGAAAAACTTTTCAGCTATCCCGCTACTGCCATATTTGCATAGCTTCCCTCCAGGCGTGCTAAATTCCCGAAATTTCGGGGGTCGGGGCTTGAAAACTTTTTGTGTTTGCACAAGCTAGCGCGTGCTAAGCCCAAACTTTCATCGGCCAGAATGCAAAAATCTAGAAAAATTTGCCAGTTCCAATGCAAATTCGGCGGGGGTATTTGGGTAGCTGGCGATAAATCTTGAGGGTATATAAAAAGAGGGTTTGGGCTATGGTATCGTATCGTAATTTGGCAGCGGGAAATGGCGGCTATAATTTTCGTGGTGGCCGCGTTGAGTGCCGGAGTTTCTGGTGCGATTACGGACCTGAATTGCACTGTGGATTCGAAGGTAGTTATGTTGAATTACGAAAAACTTAATGTTGTTCAAGCATAAATACACTTAATTTAATCCCAAAGTTTGTGGAATTATTATTCAAATTTCCGGATAGTAACGTACCAGACCGTATCGTATTCCATGGTAATATATCCTAACTTACGTGCATTTACTGACTTCTTAGCACTATCATAGCTTAGCGTACCGTATCGTACCGTAATGGCAAGTATCGTACCGTAGCGTAACACACAGCATCGTATCGAATCGTATCCGAGCGTATCGTATCGGAACATATCGTAGCGTCACGGAGATGTTAATGTATCGTATCGGAGCGTAGCGTATAGCAGCGTATCGTAGCCAAATGTAGCATATCGAACTGTTGATACCGTTTGATAGTGAGGTGTAGTTGTGGCGGGGGTGGATTTAGTGCTTCAAAGACCCAGTAAAGGTTCTAACCAAAAATTTCATTAATTACAGTACGCCACAACGGCGTTCAACTGCGAAAATATCGAAAATGACGTCTACTGCTCGTCCACGTTTGCCGCCACGGATGCCCCAGCCGTCGGCAACGACAATGATCGGTTGGTTTTTTAAAGAGCACTAAGAACTATTGCAAATTACCAACCCAAAAATTTTCTCTATTATTCAACTAATTCTAGCCCGAACGCATGCTTCAAAGACGCCGCTGGTACGGTGAGCGAGGACGTCAAGGCCGGAGCCATCGTGTCGTGCCCGAAGACGTGCGGATACTGCTGTCTGTCGGCTGCTTTTACTTGTACAAACAAAGAATGTAAGCGATTGGCTGACTCTCTCTCTCTCTCTCTCTCTCTCTCTCTCTCTTCTCTCTCTCCTCTCTTGCGCTCTCTCTCTCTCCCTTTTCCAGCGCTTCTTTTTCAGTCCCGCGCGTCAACTGCAAGACGGTCACCCAGAAACAATGCAACGACGTGCTGTGGAGGCAAATGCTCGCCGAGGACTGCCCGAATGTCTGCGGATTCTGCTTGGAAGGTACGGTAGTTTGATCTTCACTCTCTCTCTCTCTCTCTCTCTCTCTAGCTCCTACAGTAAAACATACCTTCTAGGAGGCTGTGTCGATGCCGCAGTCGAGTGCGCCAACGATAAATCGATCTGCCGCAACACGGACACCCAGGAGTTTGCCAAAACAAACTGCAAGAAGACGTGCGGATACTGTAACAACAATTCGAGTGCGTTTTGCACCAATTTACATCGACTCTAATAGCTTATGCCTGAAAACCCGTGATTTTAGCGAGCTCTACCACTAGGGGCTACACCGGCGCGTCATGCATGGATAGCTCAAAGTAAGTGAAAAATCGTAACTTATGCTTTCATAAATTCAATTTCAGACATTTAAGAGTTCCAGTAAACGTTCATAAAACTGAATAAAATCAACTATATCTAGTTATCAGGAAATGAAAATTAAAGAAAATCAATTTTTCCAGCTGCGTAACGTGGCAAAAGAACGGCTTCTGCACGTCGTCCTTCTACACGACGGAGGTGAAGCGATACTACTGCCCGAAGATGTGCGGCATGTGCTAAGCGTCCAGCCCTCCGGCGACGATCCGCCTCCCGCGCCCCAACGCCTGCTGACTGCCAATATATTTTGTGTACTTTATTTCGCGCCCCTGACCATGGCTGGTGAATAAAGTATTATGAGGGGGCTTAGTGCCACAATACGCAGAATTTAAATACTACCGTTTGCTCCAAGCACTTTTTGAGCTGAAAATGGACCTTTAATGGGACAAGGAAATCTTCAAGAGCATTTTTTGAACAAGAGAAGACCGTTTTCAAAGGCCATATAACCGAAAAGATTTCTGATGGCTATTGCTCGATTGTTGCGTAAGATAATACGGATTCTAATAGTTTTTGGAGGCTGGTGAGGACGTTAGAACGATACTCCCTGACGAGGTTTTCCCAAACGATACTGTTGACGATTACCGAAGATCTGAACAGTAAAAAGCGAGATTTCTCAACCCCGATAGCCTAAAAACGGAGAGAGAAAGGGCCAGGTAACAATTCCGTTCCACGCCAAGGGACGAATTCATTTGCAAATTTACCAATATAAAAATACGGAGTTTGGAGGTTTATCAGTTCTCAAACATTTTGAGGTTATAAATTCAGATATCTCTGATTACCTCAAGGTTATTCTGCAGTCCCTCATGCTCTCACTCTGACTCATCTTCCTGCTCAATTTCGAAAACGGTAAAAATCGAGTGGGGGTATCGACGCTGAAGCACGAGAATGGGGAGGGATTATGCAGAATTGATGCTAATTCCCGGGGGTACTCGCCGCAACCGATAGACGATCTGGTTGACAGGAGGCTTTTCCTGCCCCGCTTTGACGCATCATCATCACTTTTCGCCAATTCGAAACATTTTCCGGAAAAAGTAGTGGTGCTAAGATGGAGCACTGGAGCAGCGAGGTGCAAAATCATGTCCACAACTTCTTCAACCATCGTCAGGTGAGAGCGTAAAAAATTTGAATATTTCATTTTTTCGATTATTATATTACTTTTTATATAATTTTGTGCAAATTGAACCGTAAAAAACTTATTTTTAGAACGGTAGCTAATTTTGTCGGCTTAAAAATAGGAAAAAATCATCAACGCAAAACCACAAAATTAAGACCGTTAAAAATCACAATCCCAAAATCGGAAAAATTCTCAGAATCCCTTGAGCTACAAATTACGGCTGAGCATTTACGGCAATTACGGTAACTTGCACAACCCTCATAAATTATCTTTGCAGCCATTTTAAAGGGATAGTGTCATGCCGCTCAAGCTTTTTCATCGCGCAATGTTTAATTTTGTGCCATTAGCCCGGCCGAAAAGCGCCGCAACCCTAACTTGTCATTTCCCTAAATTTACAAATTGCGATCGTTTTATTACAGTAGTTACGGTAGTTACAATATTTTCCATCAGGTGAACATCTTGGTGACGTCCGTCCTGATCTTCGTCGCCCTGTACTTCTCGATCGTGACTTGCTTGGGGCAATATGTTTTCCATCCACTGGGTAATGTCTCAAGACTTCTAAAATAAGGTTGTCGAACCGTAACCATAATTTTTAGCCAATGTCACCAACCACACTTTCACCGTGGACGCCGCCTCGGAAATTGTTTCCTCTTCAATATCGCTATTCTTCGTCGTGGCGCTTGGGCTTCTCGTCGGGCGGTTGTTCTACTTTGTTCATCTACCACCGATGCTTGGTGAGAGCGAGAGAGAGAGAGAGAGAGAGAGAGAGAGAGAGAAAGAGAGAGAGAGTGAAAGAGAGAGAGTGACAGAGAGCGAGAGAGAGAGAGAGAGAGAGCGGGAGAGACAGAGGTTTTCCCGACTTCCGAATTTCGGATGTCCACTATGCGTTTGTAAGCTGTGTTAAGCCAACGTCAAAGGCAGTGAGAATGAGAGAGAGTGCGAAAGTGGCAGAGAGAGAGAGGTGAGGCGAGGGGGGGTGAGGAGGCGAGAGGGGAGAGGGCGTGAGTGAGATAGGCTAATTTTTTATAGGCTCCCTCCTTCTCGGCATCGCTCTCCGCAACATTCCGATCATCAACGAATGGCTGTACATCCACCAGTCTTGGGATTTCACCCTCCGTCGCCTAGCCTTTGTCGTGGTGCTAATCAGATGTTGCCTGGGTGTCGATCTGGAGGCGTTGAAGAAGACACCGGTTAGTAGACTCTGCGATGTGCCTGGGGTACGCACTTTACTAACCACATTCGTAGCTAAAAAGCGAATACGTTTTGGCCTAACCGATTAAGTCACCAAATTCAGAAAGGTGTTTTAAACCCAAAAAGCCTTTAAAGCTAGCTAAGCTTTTTGATTACGGCTTCGAAGGACTATAATGTGAACGCAAAACGATAAGCTTCAACTTCCAGGTGGTGCTCCTTGCCCTCGGCTGTATAGCCCCTCTAATCGAAGCGACAGCCGTTTGCCTGGCCGCCCACTTCATCTTTGCCTTCCCGCTGAGTATTGCTGTGCTTTTTGGGTACGGTAGCTCGTTGGAGAAACCACGAAATCAAATTCAGCCTGCTCCTGGCAGCCGGGTCTCAAGCCGTCGTACTTCCATCACTTCTGCAGCTTCAGAATCAGAATCTTGGGACTGATAAGGTCAGAAAAAGCGAGAGAGAGAGAGCGAGAGAGAAAGCGAGGGAGATAGGGTGAGAGAGACACCTTAAATTATGTTTTTAGGGAATTCCGTCACTAATTGGAGCATGCGTGTCGATCGATAACCTCCTGCTGGTTGTCATCTATACCGTAGTCTCGGAATTCGTCTTTTCTCCAGGTATATTTTCTAAAAGCGATTCACCTGTTTTCCTTTTTTCTAGCTTTTCCTAACTGTCAATAATCCCTAAAAACCCGATAAATTCAGAAGTTTCAGCCCCGGCCGTCGAAATCATCCTCGCGACAATCGGTGAGCTAGTCGCCGCAGTGATCATTGGCAACTTTTTCGGTACGTAAAAATTTTTTTTGTGTTTGATTGCCAATAACAATTTATGAAATCAAAAAGATAAGAATCAATAAAAAGCGTTAATTTTGAATTAATTACCGTATTTTCAGGCTGGCTAGTCTGGTGGTTCCCGCGACGCGGCGACACCTATACGCACTTGGCGCGAGCTATCCTGCTACTCACGATCGGGACGGCGTTGTTGTTCTCGGCTATACGGTAGCTTATTCCTCAAGTGCGATGCCTTTCTGGTTCCTCGAAACCTTAAAAAAAAACTATTTTTAATGGCTTACGGTGATTTCGCAATGCAAAATCAGACTTTTTTGTCGGTTTGAATAGGCGTACCCGCGATTTGAAGGCTTTAGGACAACCGTTTGACATTTTGATTCCCCGTTGATTTAAATCACAAAAAAATAAACCCCATGGGTTACATTAATTTTTGGTCCGGCATATTGCCTCTCGAGCCTCTTTAAACCCAAAAATGCTGATTTTTCAGACTCAAGGTCGAATTCGCCGGGGTCATCTCCCTGATCACCACCTGCCTGACGGCGATCCGCATGTGGCGGCTGGATAGCGAGAAAAAGGTATCAAATTGTTGGCTAGCGCCCCCATTACTTCGCCAACTAGACGTACATCGAGGAGAAGACGTTCGCCACGCTCTGGAATCTGCTCTTCCAGCCAATTCTATTCGTGTTGATTGGCATGAAGTTTGACATTCCGAACGTAGGTTTTATAAGTGTTTATTTTCTGTAAAATATTAGCTTACGGGGTTTTCAGTGTTAACTTACCACCGTTACGTTACATTCTTTTAGACGACCGGTGAGGGAGTGGCACTAGGATTGGCTTGCCTCGGGATTGGTATCGCCGCCAGGGCTGTGGGTAAGTCGCACATTACGGTGGCACAAAAATTGGCAAACAACCAACCTATACAGCAGAACTACGCATTTTATCAAAGCTTCCTAGGGTTAGACTGCAGTACCCCCCCCCCCCAACCCGCCCCAACTGTCTGGCCCTGTCATCTACAGGTGTATAGGTGTACCAAATGCGTCTGCCTGGCGAGCATCTGGTATACTTTCACCCTGTAGATGAGGGGGTGTAGGTGGGTGCGGCTGGGGGAGTATGCCTGCCCTCCCAGTTCTAAAAAACCGTTACAGGTGTCATCCTGCTGACGATGTGCTCGGGCCTGCGTTTCTCGGAGCAGCTCGTCTTCGTCGGCTCATTCTTCCCCAAAGCAACAATTCAGGTAGTTTTCAAGAGCTTTTTTCAAAACCTGTCGGAACAAAAGCTAACGTCGGGATTTCGAAACGAGCATCTTCTATCAATTTTAGGCCGCCCTGGCCCCGTCAATCCTGGTGGGTTCGATGGCGTTCCCCGAACTGCTCAACTACGCTTCTGTGGTCCTCGTGGCCTGTATCGTAGCCATTCTGGTCACCTCATTATTTGGCCAACTTTTCATGGACCTCTGCGCCCCGGCACTGCTTCAGAAAGACTACGTGCAATCGGTAAGTCTGGTAAATGCCGAAAAGTACCAAAATTTCTAAAGAAGAAAAGAAACGAAAATAAGCCGAACATCCCAAAATTCGGATAGTATCGAATATGGATAGAAAAAGCCAAAAATCAGGCTAAAAATGCCGGGACAGCTGTAGGAAACCAGCAAAATAACTGGTAAATCATTATTTCTTTTTTTCAGGTAACAATCACCCCCGGAAATGGCTTCTACGGGAATGGAGGGAAAATTGATGAGGGTTTCGATCCATCCCTCGGTTTCGTCTCCTTCTCCCAACTGCGCCAGACACCCATCGACACCCAGCGAGTACACGACGCGCCTAGGGACGGACCGAGATACGTGTGGAGCGGGAATTCGTGAGTTTTAAGGGGATGGACAATCATTCTGAATTTACGATTTAAACTGCATTTTAACTGTTTAATAACGATTAGTCTGGTATGCAATCCTGTTTGGTTGAAAAACCATAATTTTAGTATGGCCATCGAGGATCAGGCCGGCGATTTTGAGCGGTACGTCGACCAAAAGTGGGTTTGCTACTTCAAAATTTTAATTTTTAGATCTAGCTGTCAGTTTTTAATGGATTTTACTTTGT